GTTTTAGAGCAATATTTGAGGTGTACCATCAACTATCATTAGGATGATTGGACAATTCTTTTGCCATTGGCAGATTTTGCATACAATAATTCGATAAATTCTTCTATTCAACAAATACCTTTCTTTGCCAATTATGCTTATCATCAATGACTTGATACTCTTGACTTTTCAAAAGTTGATAATCTTGTGGCAAAAGATTTAGCAAATCAATTGTCAAAGCTACATGCAACAATGAAGATACAATTAAAAGAAGCTCAAGAATGGCAAAAGGTAAACACAGATGCCTATCGCAAGAAGTAACCACAAAGAAGGTATAGTTTCTTTGTCAAAATATCAAGACTACTTGCCTTTATAATAAGTTAGACTATCTTAGGCTGAAACCTTTTTCTATTTGTCAACAAATGAATTTTGTTGCTTATCAATTACATCTATTGGAGTCTATGAAGATCCACCGTATATTTCACGTGTCCCTTCTTGAGTTATAAAAGACAATGAATATCTTGGGAAGAAGAAAAATGCCACCTCCCTCTATAAAAGTAGATAATAATCAAGAATTTGAGGTGGAAGAAGTCTTAGATTCAAGGCGGCATTGAAATAGGTTAAAATATCTTGTTCATTGGCATGGATATGATTTTAGCAAACACATATGAGAGCCAGCAAAGAATCTTGCAAATGCAACAAAGAAGGTTGAGGCCTTTCATTGACAATATCCATCAAAACCAAGATAAAGAATTATAAAGATCTATAAAAGATGATGACCGATGTCGTATTACGTGCTTTCCTGCTCGAGAACGCGTCGGGCGTCTGGTTGTAGAAGGTAGTATGGAGATTCGCTAATATTCAAGCAGTCTATCAGTTTTTGACTGTTGGAATATAAACGACTACAAGAATATATTGTAAATCTATACGAATGTCCTTCGACTACTCATCGAGGTCCTTTTTGTCCCAGCCGGTAGGTCTCTAGACGTTACAGAGAACCCCGAACAACCCGATCTGCTAATCTCCGATACCGCTTTATACTCAGGACCTTGTATCCACTGACTGTCTTATTAGATTAACCCAATAAATTTCATTCACTCCGCATACTCAATCCTATAGACACCCTTTTAATCCTTCAATCACAGACGTAACTTCGATTTCACAAAACAGTCAAGAATAATCACACCCACTTCATTAAAACCCCGATTCACCAGTACAACACTGACTTCAGCAACGATTGCCTCCGTCTTCTCAAAACCCTATGAAAAAAAATCCCAATTCTCTGTCTTTTTTTTCCGCCACGAAGCATGAAGCTAGCTCTCCGACCTTTAAAAAACCCTTATTCTCTCCCCTCCATTTCTCAACCTATCCTCCCTTTTAATCCTAATTCTCCCCTCTTTCAAACCCTAGCCTCTGAATTTCTTCAATCTTCCGTCTTGGATCCGGAATTAGCTCCGTCGTCAAAGCTTTCTCCTCCGTTTTTACCTTCAAGAGATCTTTATACCGAAAGGACGTTCCCGTAATGGCACAAAGGACGGAACAGCCTGAAACGGAATTGGAGCCCCGCAATCATGTACACATTGAGTCGCCCGACCAATTCAGGTCTCATATTGGCTAAGAGGCCCGTAGTAAGACCTGGATGTTCCTGTAATTGGACCGCATTGGGTTGCCCGACCAAGTCAGGTCTCATATTGGGTAAGAGGCCCATAATAGGACCTAGATTGGATGTCTTGAAATTGGATCCAATTAGCTCTTCGAACCAGGCTCACCCGTCATTGAATTGGTTCTTTTCCTTTCTACTGACTTCCATTATTGGAATCGAACGGAACATTTCAATATGCCCCGGCTGACTGTAACGGGGTGACTGAACCTGACCTCTCAATATTTGTACTGGAATTGGTCGTTGCTCCCAATATTCGAGGTAATTGAACATTAATAAAAGTCCCCTTTCTTTATATTTTCACGGTATACTCGTATTACAACACGACACCGCTTCTCGTGGAACTCGTCCCTAGAAGAGGAGCTAATATCACTGACATATACATTTACATCAATAGTTACTTATATGATTAGATATAAATAGATAAGTATAGATTAATTCCATAAAGTCTTCTAGATAAGCTTCATAGATGTGATTTTGACTTTAGATGTGTTTATAGATTAAAAATTTGGCCAACAAGCTAAGCACGTGTTGGTAGCTTGTGGAACAAGTTAATTCCATATAGTAGCTTGTTGAACAAGCTAACTATGTGGCGCATACATAAATAACTTGCCTTGCAAGTTAAGACATGTGGTTAGCAAAGTCAACATGTTTTGGTGGTCCTATAGGACATTGCTATGTAGATTCTAGTTATAAGTATATAAGGAGGCAAGAGTGAAGCCTTCTTCACTCTTATCAACGCCATTCTAGTCCTTAGTCTTATTTCAAGACTTTCTAGTCTTCTTGTTTTTGGCAATAGCCATTCTAGTTAATATTACATTACCTTTTGAGTGACTTTCTATTTCTCTTCAGTGACACAAGAGTGTATCAAGGATTTTCTTTCTTTGAGATTCATATCCCTGACATAGCCTTACTTTCTTCCTTGCACTCATACACCATAAACATCTTAGATTCCCACAAGTCTTATAGGTAAGCTTCTAGGAGCAAGACTATTGTAAGGATTCCCAATATTATTTTGTACTAATAGAGCACAAAGTCTCTTGCCTATTTGCTTTATGGTTCCTCATCTTTATGTGAATTTTTTATTTTATTGATACAAAAACATATATTTTTTTATTTCTTCTTACATCTTTGCTAAAATATTTTTATAAAGTTGAATTTATAAAGCAATGATCAATAAACAAAGTACATACAAACATTGCAAAACATGTCTTTATTTAATAGATCAAATCTAAGTCTTTAAAATATTTTTAATTCTTATTCAGGCATATATTCATATTGAAAAATAAAATATTACAACAATTATTATTCATTAGTTGATCAGTAGATAATTTGTTCAAAATTTATAGTATATATAATATTATGAATACTTTGTTTTTACTAAGAAATACCATAGTTAATTCTCATAGCAATTTAGATATTAAAGATATATAGTACATTGAATTCAATAGTTTTTTAATTTAAAAAAAATATGATAGATTAGAAAGATATTTTTACATGTCTATTCCGCTTAGAATGATTGAGTATTTGTGGATCTAATTTGTAAGAAGTAGCAAGCACACCTAATGTTGTAATTTAGAATGGATTATTCTCCAACTCTTTAAAACCTCTATTGCTCAACTTAAATGTATTATATAAGGTCAAGATATAAATTCAAATAGAGGAATTGTAATTAAAGGTCTTAGTTATAATCTATTTAAAATCATTTTCACTTTTGGCAAAATATTAAAACTTCACTTCAACAAAAACCTTCAAGTTTTGTACTCTTTTTTGTTTTGTTTTTATATAGTGCACCAATTGTGTGTTAATAAAAAATGAAGAGCACAAATATATGTACTAAAGAAATTGAGATGGAAATATATAAAATTGTGTTAAAGAACCAAACAAGAGACATGAATTTTTATGTCAAAAAACAAGATAAGAAAACACAAAGCAAATAAGCATAAAATTTAGAAACTAGTGAATATATGTATAGCTAGCAATTCTCACAACTCTCACAAGAGAGGCTAACTATATTACACATCTTAGACCCAAAACACCAACAATCCAGTAAGAAGAGAGAAGTGGCGCTTGCAATTAAACCAACAAGAATACCATCCAATGATTTCTTAATGATTTTTTCATTTACTTATTATTTGTAACTACCATAGGTGACAGTGACAAGATTTCATTAGATTTAGATTTTAACACATTTAAATGGTATAAATTCTGATGTGTGATTTGTAGTTGTATCATTTAAGTTGATGGAAGTGGACGGTTTTACTCAAGTCTACAACTCAATTGAGGGGTAGAAAGCAAACACTGCTTCTTTTTATCAATTCAACCACTACGCCAATTCAATTTTTTTTCTTCTGAAGCACATCAGAACCTTATTTCTCCACCCAAAACAATTCTTTTCCAATCAAAACCCCCAATTGAACCAGCTGAAAGACTTAAGATGAGTGAACACAGTTAGTGGGGCTGCTTGTGAATCATCAGAATATATCTACATTAAAGGGGTAAATGGCCCGCTTCAATTCGCGTGACTGAAGAAATGCTACTTTTCACTGTGGAAATAATCGAGCGCAGAGGACCTTGGTAGAAGCACAACGGAAGTGTTACAACCAATTACTCTGACAGTAAAAGTAAAAATTGCATATTAATGTACTAGAAATCACGTACTTTCATACTATATACGTCGAAGTAGAATCCACACGTTACCTCTCATAATTATTAACCTCAAGCCGTGTATGAACCGAACACCATCCTCGAGACTATCACGACGGCATCCACAATGACTTTTCGAATTCAGTGAGTGACTAAGCGTTAAGACGCAATTATCTCCAAAACCCAATTCGCTTCATGTGCCATTATGAACGGTAGAAAACGTGACTAACCAGCAAGACAGGTATGGCGTGCGAATGATAAATACGATTCCCCGAAATCAACTGGACGAGCAACCTATTGTTACACTCTTCTGATCAAGCCAAATGTGGAATATTTGAATTTCTTATCCACGTATCATTCGCGTCTTATCAAAAAGGGACATAGTGACTGTCTCAATCGCAGACACCATCGTGCAGCTATCAAAAAGAATGACTCCGTAACTCAGCACACTATGTGAGTGATGTCACGTCCCATGCTACAGCTACATCTTCTGCCCCAACCCTGATCCAGCCTACAGGCCAAGCTTGGTTCTGCGCCAGTGCCGGCGCTTGGCATTGTACCTGATGAATACAAATCGTTATTAACCAGGGTGCATCTACAAAAATCTGGTGTACTTCTATACAAAGACTCGAATAGTGTGTTTAAGGATTGAGTTTCCAAGTCAGCACCACCAACATGCAAGCAAGTAAGAAATAGGTCAACCGAAAAATACATACCGAATGGTGTTATCGGTACGCATGCGGATCCAGTGAGGAATAGGGCGATTCTGCCTAAGCTTCTTCGCCAACTTTTTCTTAATCCTGAAAGTCTTTTGGGAAGGCTGAAAGCCACAAACCGTAATTTTGACATCAAGACTATGCCCGCAGACAGAGATCGACGCACAGCCCTAAAAGACTCGGACATTAAAAACCCGAAAGTGCTGTTTCCGTACGGAAGCGGCCACCGGCTATGACATGTGCTTAAACCCTAAAACCCTTCATACCAATCCCATGACGCACTCAAGTCACGGAAATTTCCCACAGGCAGCAACGCCCGTAGACAGCCTGATATAAAAACTAGATATCGTGGCCACACCACTCGACCAGAAGCAAATAAGGTGTATGTCGCGTTATTGTAACCGGGGCTAAAGTCGATAGTTCATAAAGCTCCCGACTATTTCGACAACGACATACTCAAACTTACTGCCACCTTCAGGTAGAAGAGAATACAATTTTCGTGCAAGAAGAAAAATTGAAGGAGAAAAACAAACAGGAGAAGGAGAGGAGGGCGTACCATGCTGACAGACGACGCTCGACGAAAGCGGCGAAGAGCGGGCGATCGAGAGCAGCAACAGTTGCTGGAAAAGAGACCTCATAGGGGAGCAACAGCGACTGTTGTAAGCACCGCCCCAAACCCTAAATCCTTTGTGCTTTCCAACCGTTCGATGATCTGAATTCGAAGGCTCAGATGACTCGGGTCTCTCATCTTGTTCCCTTGTTCGAATCGATGATGTTCAATTGGGAACAATACTATCATTCATCCATATTGACGCAATCGCCAAGTTGTCATCCTCAATCTCCTGTGAGAATTTTAATGGTGAAATAGCGTGGAGCACGAAAATAATGTTAACCATTCTAAATTTAAAAAAAATCACCGTTTATATCCATAAACTTATTTTATTAAAAAAAAATAACGAGAAAATTACTTGGAGATTTTACTAAGAATGTGCGTTTGAGGTTTTAGTGTAGTTCTAGAAGTCTATTCCTTAGTTTGATTTTTTATTTAGCTTAATTTTACTTTTTGAATAGTAATATATATATACATATATATATATATATATATATATATATATTTTCGTTAGATACTAACTTACATGAAAAATAACATAATTTTCGGTATTTAGACTCTCTGAATTATGCATTAATAGTGATAAAAAAAAGATATGTAAATAAAAATAAAAACAAAAAAAACTCAGTATTTGGGCATATGTTGATTATGTTTTTTAAAGGTCTAAATTATAAGTCATCCAATTAGTTACTATATATTATCTTCCAAATTTATTTAAATTTGAATAGATTATTTTGAATTTTCTCATTTTTACTCACTGTAGGTGAGGCCCATTTCAACTTAATCCATTCACAGGCTTCAAGATGATTATTTCCTTAATCTTAATATGAACAGTTTTTTCAACGTTTTGGGCAATAATTACGGCAATCCTTAAAATGTTTAATACAAACCACTCACAGTTATTTATTTGGTCACAAAAACCTACCTTTTTTTCTTTTCTATATGGTAATTTTTTGTTTCTGCATTTATTTTCTGATTTGCCTACATCTTTTTATAAATATTCAATTTAAATGTGTATATTTATATGTATCTAAAAACCATTGTATACTTTTTGTTATCATTTTTATTCTATTTTTATGAATGCTGTCAAAATGTTGTTGTATTATCCACCATGATAAAATGATGGTATAGTCTTTACATATTGATAAATGTGTTAAAATAGGAGAATGTTAAATAGACCCACCCATTCTAACCATCATGGAAAAAGAAGAAAATGACCTCTAGATTCATTTCTCTACTATTGGATTTGCAATTATTGAAAATCAACTACATACATCACGATTACCATGTTCTTCATCAAGGGTGGGTAAATCTAGTAAAAGCATGTGTCTATTTAACAATCTCCTTAAAATGTTGTTGTTAAAAACAATCATATAATTCTCCATTCCATTCTAAAAGATGGTGTTTTTAGATTGTGATTATTAGCATGACATTAGAGAACTCGACATGCATTACCAATAATTTATGTGAACAATTTGGTTTATGAATTTATGCAACCACAAAATTCATTAACCGTTTTTTTTTAAAAATTGTGCAACTTGAGGATTGCACTAGCTCTCTATTGGCAATACAAATAAAGTTCTTTAATCACACTAAAAAGATTATTGATTTAAGAAAAAAGATAAACATTTTTAATTGTAATCATGTTCAACACATAGTGATGAATAAACATATAGAAGTTGCCATTATTTTAGTGTACAATTGGGAGTAGTGTTTTATATAGTGACACATTTAAATAAATCTATTCTCTTTTCAACAAATTGTCTATATGGGTCATGATCTTTTGTAAAATACTCTATTGAATTTATATATTGATTTCTTTGAATATAGCTTGCTTAAAACAATATTCCTGAGACTTCAGTTGTCCTTTTTTTAAAAAAAAAGAATTTTTTGTTTTATTTTTCTGTTTGAGTTTAAATGATGTCAACATGGTTTTCATACTGTTTAATTGCATTAAATAATGAAATTTCATCAACAAATTTTGCACTCTCAAGGACCTTGTTGCTCTATTGCCACCAACTACTTGGTAATTCGTTGGTTTTTATTTCTCTAAAAAGAAAAATACCATTTGAACTTTATTTGCATTTGCCTAAGTCACGGTGCATATAGAATTAATTATTCCAAAGTTGATGTCAACATATTTGGTTACTTTTTCAAATAAATAAATAAATGTTTTAGGTGTACTACAATACATATATCATGATAGTTTCCCAGTTACATACACTCTTTATCCACTCTCAATGAACCAATATGCAAATTGAACGGGAATAATCATGATTAAAGATGACTTGCTTGATTCATTACTGTGAGTCTTATGCAACATTTGAACTTAGCAGCCAAGGTCTTCCAGTAGATCTGTAAAAAAGGTATTTTATTCTATTCTTAAGGCCAAGAGTAATACTTTAAACGAAACGCCGCATGTAAAAATAACAATTGAAGAGAATCGGCTGCAATTGCTTTGGTGTATCTTGCACAGAGGAAAAGCTTCTTCATAAACTAATGACCTGTAAAAAATGAAGAATACAATTATATTTTCAGTACTGCAGCACCTGCAGATGGCTTTGATGCAAAAACGTAAAGATCTAAATCTTCCTCCTTGATCTTCCCTCTTTCCAGCAGAGGTTTGTAATACGTCTCCTGCACAAGGACATCCAGAAACACTAATATTGATGAGCCCACTAGTTGGAGATACACACCAATTTCAATGAACCCGTTGATTTTATCGTTCACAGGGTGGGGAGATGGGGATGCATACCTTGAGGGCAGAGATGAAAGAATCCACTTCCTCTTCCTTGACCAGAGCAACAACACAACCACCCCAACCAGCTCCAGTCAACCTTGCTCCTATTGCACCGTTACGTCGGCAAAGACCCACTAAGCTCTCCAACTCAGGACAACTGGTGGGGCAAAAACAACGTTGAGGTTATGTCAGATGAGAATTCCAAAAGCACAAGGTATGTTATAAGGTAAACAAAGGGCAAAGTAAGTTTAAATATACCCCCAAAAGATTAAGCAACATACCTGCATTCGTACAGAAGGCTGCAGCTCGCATGGCTCTCGTTCATGAGCTCCCCTAACCTCTTCATAACTGACTCCTCGCTGCACCACACTCAATCTCATGGTTAGGGCTATTGAGTCGCATACGTAAAGGTAAATTTAGCATAAAATGAAAGTTGGGAAATTTCGTTCTACGAAAAACCCTCACTCACACAACGTAAGTTCAAAAATAGGCAATGAGAGTACCTTTCAGATTGCACAGTTACAGCTCGAAAATCATGTACCCGCTTGGCTTCGGTGTACACATGCTTGGCCCTCTGCAGTATCACATCATCCACCAAAAAACGATTGCATATTGAACAACAGATTTTAGCACCTTCATTGGATGCGTAACCTATCACAGCTCGTCGCTAAACTATGGAAGCAATTTGTAATAACTTCAAAACATGCGTCACCTAGTCTAACCCCATTTTTGGCCAACTCTTCACGTAAGCTTGGGATAATGGAACGAACTTGATGGAGCTTGAAGTGGGTGGCAGCAGCCAATACAGCCAGAGTGGTGGGTGAGTTCTTCATGATAGAACTTAGTTTTTCTTGCAGGATGTCCTCGATTTCTTCAGCGTTGTATGGAGCTTCATGCAAAAACCTCTGAATATTTTTTTTATGAGTATTTTGCGCACGTACACACACACACACACACAGCGAGAGAGAGAGAGAGGAACAAATGTTTTGAGGTGATCCAGTTCAGCAAAAGTAAACGAAAAAGAGAGATTTTAAATACCTCAACAGCCACAACAGGGCTGGAAGAGCCGTGGGCAGAAGCATATTTGGCACACAGACCCTCCACGTCGGAGAGTGTGTGGACAGAAGTCCTGGCCTCCTCAAGTCGCATCCCAAGCTTCACAGCCAACACCATCTGCAATTTTGACTTCACTATTAACATCCTTGAATACTGAATTCATCTAGTGAAAATATACAAAACTTTGGACTAAATATTGCACAGGGTGACACAACTCCAGAAAAGACTTCTTTCACGAATGCACATTTAAAAACAGTCAGTTCTAGAACAGTACAAGTAACTATGTAAAGCATCTTACCGCAGCCAAGCGGCATTCTACGACGCGGTTGTTGTAGTTAGTGGAAGCAGTCTCAGCTTTCTTAGACTCCGTGAGAGAATTTGCAACCACGAATGACCCAGATTTGGGCAGCACAACATCACTAGCCCGAACGGGGTTGAAGTCTATCAGCTTTGCTGCACCACGCTCCCCCATCACGGAGATTGCCTGGTCCATTCCACCTGACTGTGTACCGATGTGCCGCTCGCATGTGCAGGCAAAATCTGCCACATCTTGCTGCACTTCAAACAAGTTTTGAGATTATACTTCCCAAGTGCCTCATAATTTAGATAAGATTCGAAGTTCTCCCGCAAACCCGATAGTAAGCTTACTTTCCTGAAACTAAGAGAACTTGAAGAAGCATTAAGGGAATCAAATCAAACATCCAGAAAAGTAACCTTAGAGCTCGAGTACCCTAGCACCGTCAGTATAGCAATTGCAGAAGAACAGACAATAGCTGCCGAACTCGATAAGCCAGCCCCTGCACTACCATCTACCCCGATCAGAGCTCATGATCATAGTCTATCCACAACTTGAGCATATTATGTTAAAAAAAACCAATCGAATTATTTCCGAATGTTCACCATTAGAGATATGAGGTTTACAGAAAACAAAATAGACCAGAATATAGGCGGATAATTGGGGTGCTTTGAAAGTTCAAAAAACCATCCTTATCGACGAAGAGACTGACCAATTGGAACTATGCCGTCAACAACAGCATTTAGCCCGACAACGGGTTGAACACCGTCGCCTTTGGCCGCTAGATAGTCAAACACTCCCTTATATCCGCAAATGAAGTAATTTGCCCAAACGTGATTCGCTCTATCCACTTCCTGTTACAATGTAACACACCATTCCTATTTAGGATCTGTCGAAATTCAGCTTCAGCTTCGAGTTACTGCAGCGCTCCGAAGTTAGAGTTTCAAAACAATCAGATTACCAGTCGATGGCGTTCAAGAATCATCTCCAAGCCTGAAAAGTTTCTAATACAGAAAATGTCCAACAGTGACTTGATTTATGATAGGTGGTGGATTTAAAAGCGACCTGGGAAGGGTCCGCTGAGAAAGAGCAAGCCTGAAATTCTGAAGAGTTGACATTAGCAATTTGCAAAGTCGGAGGGTCCTCCTCTCGCCTACCGATAGCAACCACCGTGTCTTGGCGAATTGCCATTGGAAGCACGGAATAACCCTCGTAATCGATGTGCTCTCCTATTAGATTCACTCTCCCTACACAAATCGCGAAAACCCTCAGACAGAATCTTCACAAGTAAGTAACAATCTGCTTCAATGAGAGAGAGAGAGAGAGAGAGAGAGAGAGAGAGTATGCTTTCCTGTTAAAAAAAACTCGAACTCTGTTTAATTATGAACACATAATTATCTAAACAGAGAAAAATGATGGGGTTGCATTTGTAAAATCAAACCTGGAGCACGCGCAAAGAGTTCAGGGTCACGGCCATAATGGTGCACGAACTGCTGCTTCAGGTTCGCATACCGACGGAATTGTTCCTCAAGAAAAGGACCTTCTCCGTAAATCTCAGCAAGGGATGTGAAGACGGGAATGAATTCTTCCAGGTTGTCCGCCATCTTGTGTTACTATTAAATAGCGACAGGGAGAAAATAAGCCGAAAGACCTAACACTTAAGAGGTTGTGTCCTTTTCCACATACAATTCAGAGATTTTTTGCATTACTCTACCACAGCTTACTGAAACCCTTGGTCATGAAAAAAAGCAACTAAATGTAACAGGGTGATAAGCACAAGCTACAATCCCACTTGATCAGAGAATTTCATTCGTCTCTCTCTCACGCTGCCAATAAGACAATTGAATGGGAATATGAGACACAACGAAGACAGAGAAGGGCGGAACATAATTCTAATCATTAAGGGACAAGCAGCGCATCAAACGCACACTTGGACAATGAGTGGAACGAGATGAAAAACAGGGAGCGACACTCAGTTGCTCGAGGGATGAGAGGAGTTTCCAACCGTTCGAAGTTTTTCGCTCTCTATTCTTAGGCGTCCATAGAACTGCCGCTCTTCCCTTAAAAGTAGTAAAAAACTTCAGTTAATTAAACATCCGCAGAATCTGCTTCTTACTCCACCTTCTCTAGATTCCACAGGACGATCGAACTTGACACCACCTGGTCGCTAAATTTGAGAAATAAGCACAAGTGAATACAAACCCAACTTCAAGTAAGATACAACCACCTCGCGCCTCCTCAACAATCACCCGGTTCAACGTAATTCAATGCAATTCATTTCAACCCCACTTCAATAAAATCACCATAACCACGAATTCTTACGATTGCCACCGGCGCTAAATAGGTCCACAACCATGCAGCCCTCTCTCTAGGTATACGAGAGATTTTGTGCAAGGTCGATCTCATCTAACTTGTGTGCACCAATCCAATCTTGAGACGGCAAGTCAGAAACGATCACCCGCACATCAGCGCACAGTTCGCTAAAGCTAACATCACACTCAACTGAAAGACGAACCCAACAACAGCTTGATTACTCCACCAATGCTGAATGTACACAAGTCACTTCCTCCGTACGAACGGAACAAAACACGGTGCCATGATGGCGTTCTATGCTCCAAGTTGCATGTCTACACATGGCACGATTATCCACTTCTAAGGAAAGCATCGAGTGAGAACGAGAGTGATGAGACCCAGATTGTTTGTCTTTCCTAGTGCATTCGATTCGTCATCAGGAACCAGCAAACCAGGATAATGGTGGGTTGTCTCGCCTGTCTTACTGTTTCTTTGAGATCATAACAAAACAAAACAAAACATTGTGCTTCTCTCGAGAGTTTGCTTACGATTAATAGATGTTCTTTTAAGTAGAAGTACTGTAGAGTAAGTAAATTTGAAACTAAAATTTTATCATAACTGTGGAGATCTAGGTCCTGGATCTATGTTGCGACGCAACGAGAAACTCTTTGATGTAATTCGACTTTCACTCACAACTGCCATTGTTGTGAAGAGTTTATTCGTGCGTGTTCTTCTCAGGTAGTGTCACTGTGGGCTATATGTGGCGCAGGCGACAGATCCTTGAGTTGCAAGATAGCCTCGAAGAATGGAGTTAATAGCCAACGAGCATGATTAGTTAGGCGATCGTTAAACTTACACGACATACTAACATGATGAATAAAACACACACCAAGATGTGGTGAACTCAGCCTTCGGCTCTGACCAGCTAGTCAAGGAAGACGACAATGAAAGACTCCCATGTGTACAATCAGCTTACATGTCTAAAAACTCTCATTCCATTAAGGCACCTGGGTATTGTGGACTAGCCCTACATTCGATATATTGGGTCAGTTGTCTATCCCAAGGATTGTCGCTCAGAACGAATACACTGAATTATCTAATAATTTCGTACACACTACTGGTGCCACAAGTACTTTCGCAAAGATCTACGAGCGAGATATGAGAAGAGGGCACAATGACGCTCTGGAAGTTAGGTAGCACAGTGTGAAATTTCGCCAAGAGTAGCGGATTCGAACACATTTTGACCTCCAGTGATTGAATGTTAAATTGGAGTGAGGTGAGCACAGTTAGTAGTCTGATGCAATCCTTCCTATCCCACACGTTTAACATGACAGGAGGGCCCTCTACAATGGAACAACGGCACAAATTAGGGTTTTTTACCAGCGTGAAAATTATGTCCCACAAAGGAAGTAAATTGTCCGTGCAGGGTTAATAAACGAAGATGGTTTCACATGTGGAGGCACTCAAGCCGCATCTGGCCTATGCTTCGGTGTCGCCCATTGTTTCAGAGGAAGGGAGGAGGGCGGAACGAGCATGGCATGGTGAAAGGGTGGAGCAAGAGCCAATAGCTGCCACAGCCAACTTGGATAAATTTGCCTCCATCAACCCTACCTGCACAATTCCATGTGAAAGTCTACCTACTAGTTTAACACGTAGTAGTACTTGATTTTTGCGGAAAACTCAAGTAATTGAGGTTAGGCTTGATGAAAAAAAGTGAAAGTTAAAATGGAGAATTTAAAGAAGTGTGTTGCTATAGCATACTTTGTTGGAGGTTGGTCTTCAACAAAATCACTACAAGAGTGAATAGGGCAATTGAAAACAGTAGTTTGAGTTAAGGTGCACCTAGGTTGGACCTAGGATATAAATTCTTTTAAGTAGTAAGTAAGGATGAAATCACAGTATAAAAATTACTCATGCAATCCTTGCATATTTCATAGTGGGGTACATTTATCCTCCAATAGTGGATGATGGAGTTTAATTCAAGCCCTCTTCTTGGCATGAAGATGCCAACGTGGATAACACTTAAGTCAATTCTGCTTGTTAGCAATGCGCAAGACATTACCTAGTGTCTTAGGATAGTCCAAGATTGTAACAAAGGAAATAGATTTGGTGTGGATTAGAAGTTTTGCATTGCACTTACAAATAGAAGTCCATACTACTTAACCATTGGTGCATTCAACCCAGTAATGAGGACCTTCTTCCACATACAACTGGACTATGACAACATTCCCATATAGTATAGGTATTATCTATCCATTGAGTACTTGATAAGAAATTGTAGTATAACTTATAATCAAAAAAATCAACAACTATTGGATTGCATTCACAAGCCATCTCAACCTCAAACTATAGTAATGCATAGGAAAAAGAAAGTACATCCAATAGAGATCAAGAAGATGATTTAACAAGATCAAAAATCACTCCACCACCTAATATGAAAGAAATAGCAAAACTTTTGTTGAAAATATTGATAACTATTTTTGTTGCCAATCTTGGAAGTTTAAAAAGAAGTAGTATCCAAAATTAAATAATAAAAAATAATAAAAAAGAATAATATGATAAATACACTCAATCTATACAAAAAATAAATAAATAAATAAATAAATAAACCTTGAGCATAGTAAAGCAAGGAACAACATCAAGGGTAGAAATTTTCATCCAATACAAGTGAGTTTATTGATATATAATGAATTAAATGAAGCAAAGAATCAATGATACAAACAAAAGATAATATTACAATTGGCATTCAAGTTGAAGAACTTTGCACAACAACACACAATTATGAGGTCAAAGTGGACCTAGAGAATAATGAAGTTTTAGTCTTCAATGAAATATCAAAGATAAAGGAAGTAAGAAGTGACAACATTGAAGCAATCAATACTCAGAAGGACAAATCATCAAGAATAGAATAGTCAAAATTAGGAGGCGGCAAAGCATCCAATATCAATCTACAGAGCACCTTGCAACTAATGGAATAGGCCAACGAACATTCAAGAGTAGAAGAAGTTAGAAAAAAAAGCTTGTGATAACAGTACTATTGATAAGAATAGAATATCTAACTCCTATCCAATTCAAATTCACATCAATGCATCTAGATATAGATTTAAACAATGATCACTTCTCATTGTCTATATTTATATGACTTCAATGGAATAGAATATCTAACAACTCAAACTCTATACATGTGATTTAATTAAAAGTGAATAAAATAAGGTCAAAAGGGACATTCTAATCATCAAGACCTTTTGAGAGACTATTAAGATGAATGACTTGAGACATGTTAAAATATCTAGTTCTTTTGTATTGAAAAAAAAAAAAAAAAAAAAAAAAAAAAAACTTTGAAGTCATAATACATAATGTTAGTAAGATTATGCATACAAAAAAAAAATTGAAGTAAGATAACTCTCACTTCCATTATCCATTACTTATATGTAGTGGCTATTGCCATAATGGACAACTTTCATCTTTTGATGAATATATCCATCTAACATCTTATCAAGACTATCCATTAATATCTTATCTACTATAAAGATATGCCTTTAGTATATCCTTTATATCCTTAAGATCATTTGTTTGTTCATCTATCTTATTTCTTGGCCTTCTTACATACTAAAAGTCAATCCTTTGACCATTAGTGTCACGGCCATAATCATGTAAGCTAATAATTACATATAGAAATAAGTAGAAGTAAGTAAAAGTAGATAAAAGTAAGTTAATTCTATAATATTTAATATAGAAGCTTCCTAGACGCTGCTTTGACTTCATAGGTGTCTTTAATTGATTTTTTGGATTAGAAACGTGGTCAATAAGTTGGCCATGTGCCACACATGTTGTTAGCTTGAAGATCAAGCTAACTATGTGGCCTACACGTAGAAAAACTTGCCTTGTAAGTCAAGGCATGTGTCCTACAAAGTCAACACATATTGGAGGTCCTATAGAACGTCGCCACCTAGCCCCTAGTTAGATAGTATATATAGAGACAAGAGTGAAGGCTTCTTCACTCTTGTCAACTCCTTTCTTGCTTCTAGTCCAGGTTCAAGAGTCTTTAGTTTCTTGTCTTGTGGCAATAGCCATTCCAGTTTCCTTTTAATATACCTATTTGTTTATATTTTGACTTATTATATCGAGATAGCCTTTTTGTGTATATTTTCCTTCATCAAGTCTTTGTCCTTGACAGATTGACAAGAGTGCACTTACAATATCAGAGCTTTGTTTTTCTTGAGTGAGAGTGGATTACCCCTTTCTCTTGACAAGACATAAGCGTATTAGAAGTTTGCGGATTACCCACTTCTAAACTGATATTGTTCTTAGTATCTTCTTTGTTATCAAGTCTTTCTTTTCTTTTGTCTTGAGCAGTATCAAACAAATTTTTTTTAGTGTCATTATGGCAGAGCTTGTTGAAATGAAGAGTGCAATAGCACAAATACAAGAGCAAATGAGGGAGTTAATGCTTGCGATGCATCAACTCAATTCACCAATACATGAAAGAACAAGAATAGCAGAAAGTGAGGATATAGAGATGATCGGAGCTGCTTCAACATCTACAACAAATCACGTTCCTTCTCCAATTGTACAACACCCTGTAAGCACTAAAGAACCAAGAATTGCCTTACCCGAGAAATTTGATGGTACGAGATCTAAGTTTCGAGGACTCATCAATCAAGTACAATTGGCAATTGAACTTCAACCGCAAAGCTATCCAACTCCAGGATCACAAGTCAGGTTTATTGGCACTCTACTTTCTAGTTCTGCATTATCATGGTTTTCGTCTTTTCTTGAACAACGAAATCCAATATTGGACAATTTGGAAGCTTTTTTGGCGGAGTTTCGATCTATGTATGGTGAACACGATGCAACTCGTGTTGCAACAAATAAGATCCGAATTCTGCGACAAGAAAATCGCTCAGTAACAGTGTATATTTCACAATTTCGACAACTTGCAATTGACATCAAGTGGGATGATGCTGCACTCATTAGTCAATTTCTTTATGGATTGCAATACGAAGTAAAGAAATTGATGCTCAACTTACCTGATCCTCAAACTTTGAGTCAAGCAATCGATTTTGCGGTAAAATGCGATAATCGACTTTTTGAATTTCGATCTGAGAATCATTCACGGGAACCTCAACGTTATTACTCAATGGCAACATCATGTCAGGGACAAGAACTCGATGAAAGCTAAAGAGTAAGTGAGACTTTTCTCAAAAAGAAATAGGACAAAATAGAAATATGTATATTAAGAAAGAAACTGGAATGGCTATTGCCAAAATACAAGAAAACTAGAGACCCTTGAAACTAGACTAGAAGCAAGAAAGGAGTTGACAAGAGTGAAGAAGGCTTCACTCTTGCCTCTATATATACTATCTAACTAGAAGCCACGTGGCGATGTTCTATAAGACCTCCAATATATGTTGACTTTCTAGGCCACATGCCTTTGCTTGCAAGGCAAGTTTTCTATGGATAGACCACGTAGTTAGCTTGTTCTTTAAGCTTCCAACATGCGTGGCACATGGCTAACTTGTTGACCAAGTTTCTAACCTAAAAGTCAACTATAGACTCCTATAAAGTCAAAGTAGCGTCTATGAAGCTTCTAAGAAGCTTCTCTAGAAGATATTACACAATTAACCTACTTTTACATACTTTTATCT